ATCCCATCTTTTTGTAGTTTTCCAACAGTCTGATGACAACATTCTTATAATCGGGGTCTTTGTTATTTCCCAAGAATTTTTTTTGAATTTCTTTGAAACTATTCCAAGCTGCTCTTTCATTGTTGGTCATTCTCATTTCGAATTCATCATCTTTCATCAGTTCCCTTATTTGAGGGCCATCGAAAACACCTTCCTTGATTTTCGCTTCGGAAATTTTAAGAAATTTCTCAAATAGATACATGAAGGCATCACTGTCCGATACCTTCATTGCTTTGATAAGCTGTTTACATAAGCCGAGTTTGATATGTAAAGGTGGAAGGATGACTTTATGGCTAGGAATGAGACTATCTTCAACAATGTTCATAGATCCGGGAGTTAATTTGTTTCTGAGTGGCCAGTCCTTTTTCACATAATGTTGTTCTCGGGCACGACTGTCCCACTCACAAATAAAACAAGGATATTTTGTGTTTCCGCTTTGTTGACCTAATAAAATAGTGGTTATTTTTAAATCTCCCACTAATTGCCACTTGTGACTATCGTACTTTAATTTTTTGAGTAGAAAATCGAGATTATGGTATTGCTCTTTCAAAATCACTGAATGACCAACCGGTATAGGGGCATATATACGTTCCCATTGTGAAGTAAGACAGCTTTCAAACTCCTCACTGATGAATCAATAAATAGTCGCCAGTCACTAGCTACATATTTAACACTTTCAAATTCATTTATGAGTCCTTCAACATCATTACAATAAACTAAACCCTGTGCTTTAGAGAAGAATTTCCTGAATGATTGATCTCGATCGCGATAAAAACTCACTCTAGTACCTGGAGCTAAGCAATTCTTCTCTTTCAATCTAGAAGCGATGAGTTCGGAAAGTTCTTTCGAAAGACCTGCGTCTCGAACCAAGTCGCTTAGTTCGTCTTGAGTAAAACCATGCGAATTTCCGGGTTGATCATCTTTTGATTCTTGCGATTCATTCAGATCGTCATTTTGCTGATCTTCGGATTCTTCCCATGACATTGTCATACCGTTGTTATCAGTTTCTGTCTCAAAAGAGACTTCGTCAGTCGACATTTGTTCTTCACATTCAACCTGTTCAGTGCTAATCAACACAGCGGGAGTCACAGACTGAACAAATGCATAAGATATATTAGATTTATTGTTTTTATTATACCCAGATGTATTGGTCAAGCAAAAATAGCAATCAGAGTTATGATCTTTTGGCTCTCGCCAGATCGTAGGAGAAGCAAATATTTGTTTCTTCTTTTTCATGGTTCGCATGTGTCAAGTGACACATAATATTTTTGGTGTCCAGGAATTTTTCATTCCACATGTATCTAGATCGAAACATTTTTTGTAATTTTCTTTTAATTTATCGGTGAATTGCCTGCCCTGGTTTGTAGTGACATACTTCGAACAAACAACGCAAAAGTTGTTCAATCGATTATGACATGGAGTTGTTGTTGAACTTGTAGCATTAAACTCTAAAGTGGCCAAGTTTTCCACCAAATTAGAGCTGCGGTTGCCTGATGACGACGATTGCGGGCCCGCTTGCTCAGCCTGACCAATCGCCGATACTGGGTTTCCGAGGCCCTGCATCGTACACCTACTTCTTCTTGTGCCTGCCATGACGGCTTGCACGCCTTCACCCAGGGACTTCGCCGTTGATACGTTGCCCGCCGTCACCGCGTGGAGGTGCCCTGGGGGCAGGCACAAAAAATGTCGGTTTACAATGTCCCTTCTTATAGCATGAAATATCAGTTATAAGTCCTGGTCCCGGAATAACTTGGAAAATTGATAGACCCATTTATAGCTGAGATACCAGCAGCGAGATCAAAAGAACGATTGGACTCTTAGGTGACATCAAAATGAAATTCACGATCAGTTCAACAAAAAGGTCAGGACGTATTCGATCGTAACATTTAATGCACATTCAGAATCTGGGATCTAAAAAATTAGATCACTTGAAAGAAAGTCTTTAACCTTCATTTAACCTTGACCTTCACGTGATGAGGTCAAATGGACACCGGGATCGTGATGAGCGACCCCAAAAACCTCAAGGTCAACGGATTTGTTTCCCATTTCTGCCTAAGGTACCAGAAAACAGCCAATGGAAAAATTTGACCTTTGAATAACCTCGTAGTGACCTTTACCGGTCGGTTAAAAAAATTGTCAGGGTCTATTCAGACGTAGAATTTTCCGCTCTTTCCGAATCCGGGGTCAAAAAAATTATATCTCTCGAATGAATGTCTTTGACCTTCATTTGACCTTGACCTGGACGTGATGAGGTCAAATGGACACCGGGATCGTGATCAGCGACCCCAAAAACCTTAAGGTCAACTGGTTTGAGTTATGTTCCACCTCAAATTCATTTTGTGGCCCTGTGTAATCTTTGTTTATTATTTAATAAGTAATTATTTGGCAATAAATTCTTCATGTAGTAATAGAGTAAGATCGTACTGATGGAAAAATACAGAATATGTTGAATTGTTTAATTAAAGAAGTTAGATTTGATGATCGTAAAACTGTAAGACATGATACTCGTAATATGAGATATAAGAGCAGGTTATTATTATATTTATAGAATAATATTTTTTATAAATGAAACGTAATTACCTTATAGCATAATGATCCTTCGCCTTTCCCATAAAATTTAATATCACAAATATCTGTGATGTTATCACAAATAACGTCAACAATAACACTAACACTATTTTCAGAAATTTTAAAGGTTTTAGACATGATTATAATAGTAATATATAAACACAATTTCGAACACAATAAAGAAAAATAAAACGCAAGAGAACAGTAAAACACAAGAGTATAACACAAAAGAAAAACAGAATAGAGAAAAATAAAACGAAAGGGAACAGTAAAACACAAAAGTAAAACACAAGAGAAAAACACAATAGAGAAAAATAAAACACAAAAAGATAAATATATTATGTATACAAAATTAACTAGATTAATCGTTGTCAAGAAGAAAACGTAACCTTCATGGACAACGGTAGAAGTATGAAGTAAAAACAGTATGAACATATCAGCATTTGTTTCGTTGCGACGCATACGCAACAAAATATATGCTGATATGTTAATATGATCCGTTTACAAATGTTTAATAATACAAGTTATTGTAAATGCGATTTGTGATGTGATTCGTTCATACATACTTGTTCAGATTGCCATTTTCAATTATTTCTAATAGATATCTCTCATGAATTTTAAAATTTCAAATATTTTACAGATTTTAGTATCGACATATGAAATTTTTGATTGCACTTACGGGAGGACCCGCAAAATTTATTTGATCTTCGATGCCCTTTAAGTACGCGAGCAGAACGAAATGTTTTCGTCGGTGATCTCAGATATTGCTCTCATGTTATTAAATTTCACCACCGGACGATGGGACTTAAGCGGGGAGCACAGACTTTTGCATAACACATAAACCATATACATAAAGAATTTGATTGGTCCATTGA